TTTCTTTGTGAAGTGATCAAAATGTTCTAAAATTGATTATGGTGATGCTGTTGCCCAGCTCCATGAATATATTACAAACCATTGGATTGTACACATAAGTGAGTGAATTGTATATGAATTAATCTCAAAAAGATGTTCAAATTATGTACAATTTTATTTCAACTACATAAAGATGTTGAATAAACTACATGAATAGAGAAACTAGTAATATATGTTACAAGATGTTAACAATCATTATCTACTAGTGGAGTAGTAAGGAGCTCTGGTGGCATAGTGCCTAAGGCATTTGACTGCTGTGTTAGACTGGGTTCTCTAGAGAAACAAAACCAGTAAAGCTTATATATAGAGAGAGAAAGAGAAATTTATCTTAGTAGAATGGCTCACACACTTATAGAAGCTGGCAAGTCCAAAGTTCTTGGATCAAAGGTCAAGCTGGAGGCTTTTCCTGACTCGCAGCTGCAGGGGCTGAGGAGCTCAAGGTTGGCAGGCAGTATACTGGCTGTTGACTCCAATGAATAACAAATCCAAGATCTCCAGGCCGAATGGTGGATTGTTCTCTCATGGACAGTTTTAGGCAGCACAACAGAATCCTGATCCACAGAAGAATGTCTCTTTTCTGAGGATGTCCATAAATATACTGAAAGCAGGCCACACCCCTAGGGAAACTCCCTTTCAGTGGATTGGCTGCTCAAAACATGTTCCTCTGATCCCATCATGGGAATAACCACATCACAACTGCTTAAACCACACAGAATTGTGGTCCAGCCAAGTTGACACACAGCTCCAACTACCACAGTCCATTGTAAGTCCCAAGGTCGGCAGAGCACGGCAGGCTGCTGAACAGTGACACAGCTACACACAGGGTCCAAGCGTGCCATAGGCTAGAGACCATTCCCAAGGCTTCTCCTTACTTACAGGAAGCAGACCGCATCCCAAAGGCAGCTACTCAGCTGCTTGTGGTTGTTCCCACCATGGAGTTGATTGCCAGTCTCATAATGGGGAATAACTACCACAACTACCACCAGCTGCCCAGCCATTCAACCACACCCAGCCAAGTTGTCACACAAACATAACTACCACAACTGCTAACCAGAAGGTTGGTGGTTCAAACGCACCAGCCACTTTGGAAGGAAGACTGGGCAGTCTACTTCCATAAAGATTTACCTCCTCGGAAACCTGAAGGAAGTCTCAATGAGTCAGAATCGACTCGATGGCAGTGAGTTTGGTTTCTTTTTTTTTTTTTTTTGGTTTAGTAGAGTAGTAGATTTGTGTTGATTTATTGTCAGCTGTATATACTTTTCCATGATTTTGGAAAAATTCTCTTCTAATTTTGATAACCAGGGAAATTCTATACAAATATTAAATTTTAAACAAATATTAAAAGAATAAATTCAGTTTTAAAGTTAATATAAACTTTGCCTTTTTGTTAAACATCATGCAGAATTAATCTTGGTGTTTCTAAAAGGAAAGATTAACTCTTTTTCCAAAATATCTTATAGGTAAAGAGCACAACACAGAAAGCTGTGATAAATAAGATTACTAAAATATAAAATGATTTGAATTATTACAATTAAAATCTTGCAAAACCATGGAAGTTCTAAAAGAAAGTAGGAGGGAATTTATTTATAATGAAGATGGGAAGACTTTTCAGCTTCAAGCAGGATACAGAATCCAGAGTCCATAAAGGAAAAGAAAAGTAACAAATTTCACTACATTAAAATTAAAACTTCTAATGTTTAAATACACACATACATATGCATATACACACACACACACAGATATATAAGCATACACCTGTGCATATATATATATTTGATAAGCTAAGGACAAACTAGAAAAAGACATTTATACATATACTAAAGACAGAGGATTAAGTTACTTATTTTCTAAATAATACACAAATTAAGAAAAATATGAGTAACTTAGTTTAAACATGGGTAAGAGATATAAGCAGTTAACATAGAAATGAATAAAATAAATGCTAACCTTCACACATAAAGGCAAATGGTACTTTTTACCCATCAGTTTATAAATGTTCAAAAGGTGGATGATACTCAGTTTTCAGAAATAAGCATTCTTGTGGGTTGTGATGGGAGTAGAAATTGAATCAGCCTTCCTGGCAGCCAGTTTGGCAGAATCTATCATCATGTAAAAGCTGCTTATCCTCTACCAAACAACACCACTATTGTCTTCTAATATGCTCACAAAAGCTTATCATCACTTCAACATAGAAAGAATCTAGACCAACCAAGAATCTATCAGCATATACCTGACTAAGTAAATTATAAAACCAAAAAACCAAACTCATTGCCATCAAGTTGGGTTTCTAAGGGGGCATCACTACAGAAGTAGATTGCCCAATCTTCCTTCTGAGGAGTGGCTGGTGGGTTTGAACTGCCAGCCTTCTGATTAGCAGTCAGATTAATTTGTAGCCTTAATCACTACACCACCAGATCTCCCTAGTAAATTATAGTACATCCATATGATGGGATACTATTGAGCCATTAAAACAAATGCGGCATATGCTGAGAAAAGAAAATTTTCCAAAATAAGTGAAAAAATACAGATCCAAAATAGTATATACGTCATGATCCCATTTGTGTAAATTAAGAATAGAATATATGTGGACAGGCATGAAATTTAACTAGTAGTAATCGGAAACTAGTAACAGTGATTATCTTTAGAAGAGATTGGAGTAGTCTAAGACTTTAGCTTTTCATTTTGTACCTTTCTTTGGAATATTTTCACCTCACCAAAGTATATTTAATTGATGTATCTATAGATACATAGAAATCCAAACTAGAGATGATAATTACAGAGTAGCTTATATAGTGATTAAGCCACAGTCTCTGGAGCCAGGCCAGCGGAGCTTGTCCCCAGCTTTTGCCCTACTTGTTGTTGTTGTTATTTGCCATTGAGTTGGATCCGACTCATAGCGACGCCTCCTTGGGTTTCCGAGGCAGTATCACTACGGAAGTAGATTGCCCCATCTTCCTTCCGAGGAGTGGCTGGTGGGTTTGAACCGCCAGCCTTCTGGTTAGCAGTGAAATGCCTTAGGCACTGTGCTACCAGATGTGATTTTTGCCTCTACTCTCTCATCTGTAAAATAGGGATAGTAATTGTGCTTGTCTCATAGGAAGGATTGGCATAAAGATTGTTATGACAAATGCAGATCTTAAATTCCTTATGAATCTTTTTATCTAGCTAAATAAAACTGGACTGAAACTAGAATACCTATAATGTGACATGCATTATTCTAGATTCTTCGGAGACAGAGGTGAAAATGGTAAAGAATGTCTTTACTCTCATGTCCTGTTTGGAAAAGATAATGAACAAACGATAAATTAATAGTAACCAAGAAAAATTTCCTATCATAGAGAAATGTGTGATGAGTAGTATGATGTAGAATAATTTGTTTATGAATAATAGATTACTACCTCAGATTTGCAAAGGCCTCTGAGTAGTTGATATTTAGGCTGAAATCTGAAGAATACAGATGAGCCAGTCACGTGAGGGAAATCAGGAGGAGCATTCCAGCAGAGGGAGCCTGGTGCACATGCCCTACAGCTAGAGGGAGGTTGGCCTGTCAGAAGAAACAAAAAGCAGCTGTTCTGTGGATAAGGGGAGAGTTGGGTGAGATGAAATGTGCCAACAAAGGACAGAAGTTTGAGTTTCATTTAAATGTCTTAAGAAGCTTTAGAACATCTGATTGATGTCCTTAACATGTTTGGCCTCTTTTGAAAAGTGGATTATAGTGGGGTAATAGTGGATAAGATCAGTTAGGAAGTTATTGGAGTGCTGTAGGACAAACGTGATGGTAGCTTGTTAGACAATGGGCTGGTGATAAGTGATGGACATAAAGGCCAGATTCAGGCCAAGTTTTAGGAGTAGAGAACTTGTTGATGTATTGATATATAAAGCAAGGGAAAGAAAACAATCAAGCATGACTTGGCTTGAAAGATTTTACTGGGTTGTGGGAGACTGGTCATGAATATTGGGTAAACTGATATATTTTATTCTATACCAGTGAACAAATTTCTATTCTTGCCAGTGCTTCAGTTCCTTATTTCTCACATTGGCTCACCCTCTTAATGAACAAAGGTAGTCTTTCAGAATGACTAGCAGACTTTTTCCTATTTGCTTACCCATTATTGATTTATTCATCCCACCTTTCTTTGTTTTAAGCCCAGCTCTTCTAATACTTCTAAGGTATGTGGCAATTTGAAATTTGTGTTTCTAGCACTGCTGTTTTAAGTCTAACTGCAGTGACAAATACTTCCTTAGTAACCAGATATATATTCTTCCATTGATAAGAAATTTTTAAACCGGAATTTTGGACTGATTTTTTTCTAAATATGTCAGAAAGCTAAGTTTAAAAAATATTGCATGTACCACAAATAAAATTCATGCATTTATTGTGAAAGTCATTAAGCTGTCATTTTAAGAATATATCAAAGATCTGAATAGAATATGTATTTTAAAAGACTTAGTAAAGAATATCTTTTTTCTGTGACTAAATAATCGACATGAAATGCAAAATTCTGGCTTGTGATAAGGAAATATTTTGCCGAAAGTTGCTAGAGTTCTTTAGTCATGCTTCCGATAGTGAAACTGAGTGTAATACTACAGGGTAACTATTGCCTTACAAAGAACATCAAATGGAGGTTAATTTCTGATTAAGAATTTGATTATCAATCATTGATTATGAATTAAAAATTGTCAGTCAAAAGTTTTTTACATCCTAGAAAATGTCTTTATTCCAAAATACTGATTGCAAAACAATTCAGCCTCAGTGTTTGATTCAAGTAACTCAATTTCTGAGAGAAATATTATTACTAGGTTTTATTTAGCATTTGGGAATAAAACTGTACTATTGGGGTAATTTAGTTTGTAACATTATAAAGGAAAAAAAGTGTAAGATCATTTTCCTGGATTTTAGAGAATTGTGTTTTAAAGATGAAATAACATGTGTTTTTGTTTTTTTTTTCTTTCTTTCCTAGCATTTTCATGGAAATACTGCGAATACTGGTTTTGATTGGTCAAATTCTCTTTTCACTAGCAGCTGTTTTTCTTTTATGTCTTGTTATGAAGACTTACTTAATAGGACCATATTATCGAAAGCTGCATATGGAAAGCAAAGGGAACAAAGAAATCCTAATTTTAGGAATAACTGCTTTCATCTTTTTAATGTTAACGGTAATTCTCAAAATATCTATATATGTTATATAATCTGATTTATATAGTCTGTTTCACTGAAAGCTCATGATCAATTCTTGGTATCTTTTAATTTTAATACTGGTTAAATGTTTAAAACATTTATTTGTATTTTTTATTTTATACATTTTATTGTGCTACCCATAAAAAATGTAATACAATGAGCTAAACATGTTATTATTTTGACTCATTTTTTAAGCAGTTTGCCAAAATTTTATTTGGAAGTGATCTCAAGTTATCACATGGTTACTGAGGGGGATTAAGTAAACAAATGTACTTACAAGCAGGTAAAAACCAATGTCAAATCATTCTACTCTGTTTGAAACTTTCAAATAGCTTTGCATCTAAAATAGAAAATTAACATTTTAAAAATAAATTTTAGTTATATTTGATAGTAACAAGTTAGTAAACAGTGAAAGTTTTATTGCTGTAATGTGAGAATTTTAATATGTTATTTTTGAGAGCAGATTTTCTTTAACTGAAGAACAAGCTTTTCATGGTAGATGAGGGAAAATACTGTTAGACTAACAAATAGTGTAAATATGAACAGTATTTCCTTAATTAAATTAGCTTATGTTATTCATATTAATAATGCAGCACTCATAATTTTACAAAAGCAAAGATGATTTTATGCTAAAAAGTAGCAGTAAACTGTCTCCAAATTGCTTTCCTAAATATTTTTATTTCTGATGGTTCCTTAATTTTATTAACTCAAGAATGATGATCATGAAAAACTTAGATCCTTCTGAAAGTGAATTACCATACTTTTACTTCCAGGAAGATGGAATAGACTTTTTTTTTCCCCCTATACATTAATTGCCACTCCTCGGAAGGAAGGTTGGGCAATCCTACTTCCGTAGTGATACTGCCTCGGAAACCCAAGGAGGGGTCGCTATGAGTCGGGGCCGACTTGACGGCACATAACAACAACAACAACAACAAAACCCCCTAAAAGTCCTGAAAATTGTATATAAAACTGAGAAAATTCTGAAAGATAAAGAAAGAAGACAGACTGGTTAAAGAACTCAGGGGCTAAGGAATAATATAGGTGAGTTTCATTTTGCTTCATGTATCACAGCTGTGGAGCTGAAGAAGCCAGCAACCCAGAAACACCAACATGTATAAACCAAAAAAACCCCAACAAAACCCTGTTCACTCTGGCAAAAGCTCCAGGAAAGGGAAAGCCTAGAAGGATAGTACTTTCAGTCAATAATCACCCTACTCCAGTGAAATACCACAAAGGCCAAGTGGGAAGCCTAGACTTTTACCCTTACCGGGCTGTACAACGCATCCCAGCATCCCTGCCAGATTGGTGTCAGAGAAGGCCAAGTAGGGAGCCTGGACTTTCAACATTGCAAATCATTAAGGAGCTCTCCCTTTCAGCCTTCTGATGCCCCACAGTGTCTATTCTGACCACCTGGAGAGCCACACATGCATCCTCCTTGGGAGTCAACAGAGGATAAGTGAAGAACCTGGACTTCTTTTTCCACATTATAGTAACAAGGTGAAGTTATACCTTTCTTTGCCAGAACAGTGTTAAAGAAAGCCAATTTAGACAAAAAGCTTAAATAAGATCCAGAATCTCATGACATAATATAGTTCAGGTGTTAGTCAAATATCTGTTATATCAGGAACCAGTAAGATGTCAAATTGAATGAGAAAAAAAAAAAATCAAGAAACATATGCCAACACTGAGATGACACATATGTCCAATTTATCTAACGGGGATTTTAAGGGCTATCATAAAAATAATCATAGGAGCAGTTATGAAACAATTTGACACAAATGAAAAAATAGAAAATCTCAAAAAAAAAAAGAAGATATAAAGAAGGACCAAATGAAAGTTTAGAACTGAAAAAGAGTAACAACAACAACAACAAAACTCAATGGATTTAGCTTAGAAGCTCTGGTGGTACAGTGGTTAAAGTGCTTGGTTGCTAACTAAAAGGTCAGCTGTTTGAACCCACTGGCCACTCTTTAGTAGAAAGATGTGGCAGTCTGTTCCTGTAAAGATTTACAGCCTGAAACCCTTTGGGACAGTTCTACTTTGTCCTATGAGGTTGTTATGAGTCAAAATGAACTCAATGGCACTGAGGTTGTTTTGGATGTGCTCAACTGCAGAATGGAGGGGATAGAGGAAAGAATTAGTGAGTTAAAAGATAGAACAATAGAAATTGCCCAATCTGAACAACAGAAAAAATAGATTGAAAAGAAATATTGACATAACCTCAGGGACCTATTGGACTATAAAACAGAAGATCTAACATTTCTGTCATAGGAGTCCTGGAAATAGAGCAGAGAGTTTGAAATGATGGCTGAAAACATCCCAAAATTGGTAAAAGACATATATACCTACAGATTTAAGAATCCAGGTGAACACCAAACAAGATAAACCCAAAAAAAGTCCTCACCAAGATGCATCATAATTAAACTTATGGAAATTAAAAATAGGGAAAAAAAATCTTCACAATGGCAAAATGGTTTAGAAAAAAAAAAAAATGACCTTCATAAGGGGAAAACAATTCAAATGATAGCCGATTTCTTATCCAAAATAAGGATGCGAGTGAAGAGGAGCACAGTATTTTTGAAGTGCTGAATGAAAAGAGCTGTGAATCCAGAATTGTATACCTGGCAGACATATACTTAACAAATGATGGGAAGTCAAGACATTCTCGGATGGATAAAAACTAAGAATTTGTCACCAGCAGACCTACTGTAAAAGAATGGCTAATAGGAGTTTTCTAAACAGAACAGAAATCAACAAAAGAAGAAACTTTGGAATATCAGGATGGAAGAAGGAACATAGTAAACAAAAATATGAATAAATACATTAAGCTTTCTTCTCCATTTGAATTTTTTAAGTTGTATTTTGAGAGTTGGATTAAAAAATTACACAACTGACTGATTTTCTAAAGTTACATAGAGGAAATATTTAAGATAATTATAAATAGGCAGGTAACAGGATATAAAGAATGATAAGGTTTCTCTACTTCATTTGAACTGCTATAATGAAGACATCAGTAGACTGTTGTAGATTGCATGTATATAAATATATATATATTTATAAAATACCACCATTTGTCTGTCAGTTTGTTCTACTGTGACTTGCATGTTGCTGTGAGGCTTGAGGCTATGCTACCAGTATTTCAAATACCAGCAGAGTCACCGTATAGACAGGTTTCAGTAGACCTTCCAGATGAAGACAAACTGGGAAGAAGGATGGGTCCATCCACTTCTGGAAAAAACTGGCCTCTGAAAACCTTATGAATAGCAGTCAAACACTGTCTGATGTATTACTGGAAAAGCGTGTGAATAACTCTGAAACATTGTCTGATATAGTGCTGGAAGATAAGCCCCTTGGTTTGGAAGGCACTCAATATATGGCTGGGAAAGAGCTGCCTCCCCAATGTAGAGTTGACTTTAATGATATGAATGTAGTAAAGCTTTCAGGACCTTTATTTGCTGATGGGGCATGACTTGAAAAGAGAAGAAGCAGCAGCAAACATTCATTAATAATCGGAACTTGGAATGTACAAAGTATGAATCTAGGAAAATTGGAATTTGTCAGAAATGAAATGGAATGCATAAAGATCTATATCCTAAGTATTAGTGAGCTGAAATGGACTGGAATTGGCCATTTTGAGTCACACAACCATATGGACTACAGTGTGGGTAATGACAAATTAAAGAGGAATGGCATTGCATTCATAATCAAAGTGAACATCTCAATATCTATCCTGAAGTACAGTGCTGTCAGTGATAGGATAATAGCCATACACCTAGAAGGAAGACCACTACTACTACAATTACTCAAATTTAAACACCAACCTCTAAAGACAGAAATGAAGAAGTTGAGGATTTTTTTCCAACTTCTGCAGTCTGAAATTGACCAAACGTGCAATCAAGAATCAAGATGCATTGATAGTTATTGGTGATTGAAATGCAAAAGGTGGAAACAAAGAAGAATCATCAATAGTTGGAAAAGATGGCCTTGGTGATAGAAATGATGCTGGAGATCGCATGATAGAATTTTGCAAAACCAATGACTTATTCACTGCAGATACCTTTTTTCAACAACATAAATGGTACTGGACAGGTGGACCTCACCAGATGGACTACCCAGAAATCAGATCAGCTCTATCTGTGGGAAGAGGTGATGTTGAAGCTCAGTATCTTCAGTCAAAACAAGGCCTAAGTCCATGAGAGCCAAAATATGACCTTGATTATATCCCACCTAAAATTAGAGCCCATCTGAAGAATAGATTTTACACATTGAACACCCATGACTGAAGACCAGACAAGTTGTGGGATGATATCAAGAATGCCCTACATGCTTCCAGCCAAATAAAAGACAGGCATATGAGTTGAATGTTTACCTGAGGTAGATATACTCCTCAGAGAGAACAGTCATGGGAGAAAAAAGGGCTGCTTATGCACAGGGAGACAGCTCAGGGGGCAGGAGTGCATGGAGGGATGGACCAGGGAAGAGGTAACTATCGGGAGGAAGTGGGAGAGGAGCTGTTACATTGTGGTAAATTGTAGTCAATATCACGAGATAAAGTGTATGTGAATTGCTGTATGGAAAGTGAATTTGCTCTATAAATTTTCACCCAAACCACAATTAAAAAAAAAAAAAAAAAAAAAAGCCCTACATGAAGAAAGCAAAAGGTCATTAAAAAGAGAGGAAAGGAAGAAAAGACAAAATTGATGTCAGAAGAGACTCTGAAACTTGCTTTTGAACATAGTGTAGCTAAAGTAAATGGAAAAAATGCTGAAATAAAAGACCTGAACAGAAGATTTCAAAGGGCAGCTTGAGAAAACAAAGTAAAGTATTATCGTGAATGTGCAAGACCTGGAATTAGAAAATCAAAATGAAAGAACATGTTCAGCATTTCTCAAGCTGTTCAAGCCTTAAGTTGCAATATTGAAGGATTCTGTAGAGCTCTGGTGGCATTGTGCCTAAGGCATTATTGGACTGTTAA